CAAATGAAGATGAAAGAGATGTGTTTTCAGCCGTTTCTTGAAAATATTAAGGAGCCGTTTCTTGAAAATATTAAGGACAGGTCATTCCACCAGGAGGGAACAGTTCATGTAGAAGTCCATGAAAGTTTTATCATAGGTAGAATGCCAATACAAGCAATACAAGCATTTCAGTCAAATTTAATTTATGGAATATTTCAAACCTTTAACCCACTTGGCCCATGGCAAAGAATAAGGAGAGATGACTGATGCTGGACCATGCTGGAGTATTTGCTGCTCAACAGATCCTGATCTCGTTGACAAATATCTGATCTTGTAAGATGTGCTCCCTTTACACAGAGTGCGTGTGATTGCGAAATCGAAAGTGAAAGTGAACAGCGCAAACGCTCATTCAAAAATATTTAAATACTCCGCATCCTGAGCGCGGCTCCCTGATGCGCCAAAATTATATACAATATTAGAATGTTTAAAGGAGTGGACACGAAAATTGTGGGAGCGAAACACATGTTGCGGGAGCAGGCGGCAATGGTCAAAGATTCAGGGGGAGCGGGATTAAAAAAACAGCCGAATCCCGAACATTTTGGGCAATTAAGAAATCCCTGCCGGACGCATTTTTGTAGGTCCAAAAATAGGACATGTCCGGGGAAAAGAGGACGTATGGTCACCCTAATGTATAATCTATTGCTAATCGATGTATTCTTTTTAAAGTAGCATATGGAACATATTTTCTGCCCTCATTCTGTGACAAGAAGCCTCATCAGATATTTTTCACGTGCGGTGCCAGTGATGATGCTTCTTACGTCCGTTTCGGAGAACCAGAGGACAAATATTTCAATCGCTCAGGCATGGCACCGAAATGAGGCACCTAAATCTGCGTTCGTATTCTGTTCTAGTACATACCGGTTACATAGGTACCGGTGCCATATTGGTACCGGGTTTCGGTACCCAACCCTAATTATTACATTTTGAATATGGATATTTTTCTTACAAAAAACGCATGGATTCGCTACAGGAGGCCTTTGTTCAACCCCTGGAGCCGTGTGAGACACTTTTTTTTAATGGATGGGCGCTTTTTATTTAACTTCTTTTGGACTGATGCATGCAACACCCGCTGAATGGCATTAAACAGCTTGAAAGATCAAAGACAATTTTTTATATAACTCCCACTGGATTCGTCTGAAAGAAGAAATTCATATACACCTAGGATGACTTGAGGGTGAGTAATTTATGGGCTAATTTTCATTTTTGGGTGAACTAACCCTTTAAATAAGCATCAAATTAAATACACAAATTACATACAATTAAATAGTCTACAGTCCATGGCCCTGCAGAACTGTTATGATTAAACATAAAAAAGTATTATAGCTGCAATTTCAAATAAAAACTGATTATTAAATTAGATAACAATGAATTTCATTAATGATTAGTTGGGTCTGTGTGCTGTGCACAAAGAGTTTTTGTTGAGCTCACTTTACAGTAAGAAAAACATTAGGGATGTAACGATTCACTCAACTCATGATTCGATTCGTTTCACGATTTTATTTTATTTTTAACAAAATGAGATTTAAGACAAATTACAAATTAAATGTGTCCTTTTATTATTGCTTGGACAAAATGCTGCACATTTCTTTGTGAAATTGAAATATAACACTATAATAATATACTAATATAGCACTTGCATATTACTGCTCTTTTGTTGGTTTTGATTGCTTCTATTGTCCTCATTTGTAAGTCGCTTTGGACAAAAGCGTCTGCTAAATGACTAAATTTAAATATAATGTAAATGTAAATAACAAAACTACATTGAAATTTTAAAACAAGCCCCAAATCAAATCAATAAATAACACAAATAAAATAAATCGCTTCATATAAACAAACTAAGGCTTTGTCTGTGCTCTTTCCATTTAAAATGAGAGGCAACCACTGCATTTTAATCATGATCCAAACAAAGATGCTGCATACATGCAACATGAGCAGTTTTAAATCTAAATTAGATTGTATAATTTCGAAATTTGAAACAAAAACAGAATGGTTTGACTTCAGTTTTGTGAAACTATAAATAAAAATATCTGCATGAAACAGCAAAGCTGAATGAGACGCAGATGCACTCTCTGCCAGCAGGTGGCGCTTAAAGCATTTCCTTGGTCTCCGCTGTAAACAAAGCAGCGCTGAACTTATGAACTTTAATATGCATTATACAGAGGCAAGATATAAAGAAAAAATACCATCTAAACTTTTCTAAAGACAGTAACATACATTCATATAAACTCCTACCCCTAAATGAATCGCGATTTGTTTAGCATCTCAACCGATTTGAATCGTCACATATTTGAATCGATTTTCAAACGGCTCGCGGTTAATCGTTACATCCCTAAAAAACATTGTTTTTGAGTAGAAGGCAGAGCATATATGTAGAGCAAGTGACTTTAAAAGCAACTCTGAAACCGTCTTTCTTGTATCAGATACAAGTTCTAAACCCAAAATCATGTTTTACTGATCACAGTTTGACTTTTCTCCAGAGTGAATTCGTAGATGATGATCTTTGACGCTCTCTGCCCGTGTGAAACTCTTTCCACACTCGTGGCAGGTGTAAGGTTTCTCTCCGGTGTGAACTCTCATGTGCACATTAAGAATTCCTTTATGTGCAAAACTCTTCCCACACTGAGTGCATGTGTACGGTTTTTCTCCAGTGTGAACTTTTAGGTGATCCTTAAGGTAATGTTTACCAATGAAACTCTTCTCACACTGAGGGCACGTGAACGGCTTCTCTCCAGTGTGAGTTCTCATGTGAATATTAAGTCTTCCTTGGCGTGTGAAACTCTTTCCACACTCATGGCACGAATAAGGTTTCTCTCCGGTGTGAGATCTCATGTGGGTGTCAAGGTGTCCTCTTTGTGAGAAAATCCTCCCACACTCAGTGCATGTGTACGGTTTCTCTCCAGTATGAATTTTCAGGTGATTCTTAAGATATAGTTTAATACTGAAACTCTTTCCACATTGAGGGCACAGGAAAGGCTTCTCTCCGGTATGGACTCTCATGTGCACATTAAGGCTTCCTTGACGTGTGAAACTCTTTCCACACTCATGGCAGGCAAAAGGTTTCTCTCCGGTGTGAACATTCATATGCATTTCAAGCTGTTCTCTTTGTGAAAAACTCCTCCCACACTGAGGGCATTTGTATGGTTTTTGACCTTCCTGAACTAAACTCGTTCCACATTCATGGCCTGTGAAAGACGTTTCTTCACTTGAAACATTATGAGGTTTCTGATGCATCTCCTCCACTTCACTCAGCATTTCACTTTCCTCTTTTAAGTCTAAAAATAAACACAGTACATAGTCAAAAATCAATTATATTGTGACAAATGTAAAGCAAAAAAGAAATGGAAGGGAACAAATTTTTGCTTTTTGCAGAAAACAAGACCTTAAGTATCTACTTTACATGCTTAGAGTAAAATATGTCGTGTTTATACAATTCGTTAATTAGTCTCCTCCACGTCACCCTATAGCTCCATTTTGGAGAGTATCACATACGTAAACATACATTGCATATGTTGTTTACGTATGTGATAATCTCCAAAATGGTGCTATAGGGTGACGCGGAGGAGACTAATTGTTGAATAAAGTCGTTATTTTTGTTTTCTTTGTGCACAAAAAGTATTCTCGTAGCTTCGTAAAATTACGGTTGAACCACTGATGTCACATGGATTATTTTAACGATCTCCTTGCTACGTTTCTGAGCCTTGATCGTGTAAGGATCCTTGCTGTCTATGGGAGGGTCAGAGAGCTCTCGGAATGCATCAGAAATATCTTAATTTGTGTTCCGAAGATGAACGGAGGTCTTACGGGTTTAGAACGACATGAGGGTGGAGTAATTAATGACAGAATTTTCAGTTTTTGGGTGAACTATCCCTTTAAGTAGCAGATTTTGACGCTGTAAGTAAATGAACCGTCAAGTTATAACAGTTATGAAAAACATACTTCTCTTGGATTTAACTGTAGCATAAGCTACATTCATACATTTATACTTTTATTTATAGCCTTCAATTTGCACATTGTTGAGGGACAACATTAGACTGGATGAGAAATAAAGTTTTCCCCCAAAATACAAGCAAGAAATAAATGGCATATAATAAAACTAGTAGGGCTGCGCAATTAATCGAATTTCTAATCGCGATTACAATTTGGATGCCACAATTACGTAATCGTTCAAAGTCCACTTATGTTATTCCGCGTGCTTAAGATGCGTTTTTTTCTTTCTACATGTTATCTTAAGGGTTTTTCCATTGTTTTAATTTTAGTTTTAGTATAACATTATAATACCATTCATATTTTTACTTTTTTTTATAATTTAAAGACCAATCCGATGTATAGTTGATATTTTAGGCTTAATACTATGGAAAAGCACAAAGTTTTTCAGTTAGTGTTTTCAGCTTGTTTATTTTCATATAAAAATACGGCATGCAGTTGCATCAAACAATGGTAGAAACATCATTCAATGTAAATTGTGATAATCGTAATTAACAATCGCAATTTCAAGGGAATAATCGACAATTATGATTTTTGTCATAATCGTGCAGCCCTAAAAAGTAAAAACTAGCATTAATTACAGCCCTTAATAATTAATATATCATGGTTAAAAGCCAGACTTTTGCACACAGATAACAAACAACAATAAAAAAAGATGACTGAAACCATCTTTCTTGTAACAGGTATTGACAAGGCAGACAAATATACTAAAAATGTACAAAAAATTGAAAGAAGGAAATGACCTGATGGGATAAAAACATCATCATCGCTCTGTTCTTCATCAGCTGTGGTTTCTCTTTTCATCTTCGTTAGGTTCCTGCAGTACTCCAGCTTCACTGAGCACGTCTTAAGTGGTGTCTGCTCTTCTTCAGCGTTACAGTCTGAACCCAAAGACTCTGTGGAGATTTGATTGGTGGATTCATGACTGTCACACACACTCTCTTGAGTGTCAGTGTAACAAAGTAAACTGAGGCTGATCTCTGAGTCCTGTGTGTTTCTGGATCTCTGTTCAGAAAGCTGATCTCTGATGCTCCAGGCTGAATCTGTGCCATCAGTCACACCCACTGAAACCTTTTCCATCGCCTAAGAAACAAAGAATCACAGTGGCAATAAATTTATATAACGACTGCCGCTCCTATTAAGATAAATAAAAACTGCTGGCAGACTGGATGTACAAAAAGCAATAAACATTTTTTTTTATTTTTGGAGCCATGCTCGGTCATTATGTCTGACAGGAATGCTTGAAGCTTCTGCTAGCCCTTACAATACTTTCTTAGCAAATACTGATACATATAAGCACTGCGGTCTCAATCTGCAACGAAACGTATCTGTGCATGTGCCAATGTTTAATCTTAAGGACATTTATGTTCATTTTTATTTATTGAACAAGTTTGGTGGTTTACACTGGGTATAAACAGATCTTGAAGCAAAATCGGTTGAAAACGATTTGAGAATGGAATCAATGGATCAATTTAAGAAGTTCAGCGGAAAGAAAGGAAAAAACTGGAAAGACAAGCACGCACAATCATTCAGGATTAAGTGAATCTTTTTCATGTAACGTTACAAACCTCTCTGCTCAGTTTTTTGTCTCTCTCCATCAGCTTTACTTCCAGTGACGCCTCCCTTTTCTTCAGCTGACAGATTTACGTAATGAAACCATCAATATCCAGCATGGACAGATATATTATATCCTTCATTTACCACTTTTACATTTTAAACATGCTATTTTCACAATTCTGCTGGTTTCTTCGGAAACTGAGCACTGTCTGAACTGTAAAAAAAAAATTAAAAAAAAGGTAAGCTGCTGCTGCTTCGTTTCGTTTACAGGGGAGCTTAAACTACAACATCGGACATTACTGCCACCTATTGGGAGTGTGGTCCGCAATCACAGCACCATTCATCTCTGGAATAACTTTCGAAGCACTGCAGCGTTGGAAAACCTTTGTGAATCATTTGTTTCGAGCCAGAGGCTCGGAGCGCGTTTCAAATGGCCAAAGTCACGTGATTTCATTCACCGCGGTGTGTCTTTTACAAGGGCTACGTTCAGACCCGACAAAACGGTGCAAAACGTTTTTTAAACGGAAACGGTCGTGCGTTGAACACCCTGTTCTGATGACTCAAGAGTTGCAACTATGGCAGCTGAGAAGGCCATTCTTTGTGTTCTTTTTGAAGAATTTTCGGAGCCTGATGAAATCGGTATAAATATGTGTTTAAAGGGGT